CACCCCAAAAAAAAAAAAAATACCTCCCTCCCACCCATGGCAAATGTTTCCTATGTGCTAAGAGGAAATATTTCTTCACCACCATCGAGTAAAAAGTCTACTATATATGGATGATATTTTCAAAGAAAGAAAGAAAACTATACTTATCCACCAAGAAAGGCAAAGTATAAAACAAGTATATGTGCCAATAGACGTCATTAGTGCACCTAAGACAAAAGAAGGAACAGATCCATTACCATCTACAAGAAAATCCAAAATTGATCATCAATACAGGAAGGAAAAAAAAGTCAGTGATTTCCTTGGGAAAGTTCTTATCCTAAGACTCTGCCCCATCAAATAGGCTTGGATTTCACCCCAGTTAACCATTCAAGGAATTGCAAAAACTGAATCTCTTCACGATATACAACCTTTGGAACTCCAGACATGGAAAAACAATAATCAGCTATAAAAAAATTCACAGGAATAGCCACTTCATGGAAAAGTCCAAAGGAAAAGGCAAATGTGCCAACTAAAACTACGAAATTCGAATCAATGAATGATGAGAAAGTCCAGATCATCAGCATCATAATGCTAAACATTTAGCTTAGACAAAATTATCAACCTTAAACATCAGGCACCACTTCATATTAAAGTTGGAGGAAAAATAAGGATAAACATATTCCGGAATCCAGATTCCAGCCAAAAAGAAAAGAAAAAAATGAAACCCTTGGAAAACCAAAACAAAATTAGCAGTAGAAAATAAAAAAACAGAATAATAAACAAAAGACAACATTGATGATGTGCCCAATGCCCACTTAGGCTAGCCACAAATTCTGCAGAGGCTTATGTAGCCAAATGCAATTTACTTAGCTTCTAATTTTATAGGTCTACCCTGAAAATGTGTCCATGCATGTTGAGTGGCATCATTTTAATTATGGCCGACAGCATACAACATAGCAGCTCATGGACAATTAAAGAGGACACCCTTGTGATAGCTTTTCCAAAAAAATAAAGCTTGAAGAAGTGGCTTCATATCTTTAAGATGAACCCTCATGACATGATAGAAAAATTTTATATTTTCATAACTTCTAACTTGAAGAACTATTTCCCCGCTTTTAGCCACAAATACCAATATTATATCAAATGTACATGTAAAGTCTCAGCTCTCTACAGAATGAATAAGATCAGTCTCAAAAAACAATCACCACTAGCTTCTCATTATTAAAGCATATTACCTGATCTAATGGCACTGGTAAATGATTCAAGTTCCTGCTCACGTACATGACCAAGATCAACCTTCACAGGATATAACAGTGAAACTTGTGATACCATAAATTGTTGCCTCACTCTCAGCAACTTCTGCAAGTTCCTGAGATGAAGATAACCATTTTCTCCAGCAATCGACCTATTTGCTTCCTGCATTAAAAGCATAATCATATTTCTGCATCACAAAGGTACTTAAATATCTATCACACAATTTACACCACTTCAGCAGGAAAGAAATATGAGAAACTATTAAGAAATGGTGTTGAAACTAGTTACTATAGTAGAGATGGATATGCCAAATAACAACTAGTTTTTCAACTAGGATAAATAAAGCTAACTGATTCAAGAAGGTAGAGCTAGGATTTGAGTTTGATCACAGCCACACAATGCAAATAATGCCTAATTCATGTCCATAACCAGTTCTACCCTACAAACAACAAACCCGTTGGTGGACTAACATTGATAATGAGTACCTAATTATGCATTTATCAGGGCTCTTCCTGAACTGATTTTGGAAACATCTCCATTCCACTCACAATCCAACATGATACCACAGCCTTCGCAAACTATAATCATCTCGACAGCCCATCCCAACCCTTTGACCTTCCCCTTCCGTCATAAGTCTCAGAGCTGTCTTTTTAGGTACCAATAATTGGCCATCAAAAAGCTGATATTAGCATTCCCTAGCTTATAGAATCTAGGTTTTCCATCACCCAAAGAAAATCCCACTAGGTTTTTGCAGTAGATCAATAGGGCAATCGCCTTTACTAAAATTTCATGGAAATTTAGGTGGAAGCTTTCATTGAAGAGAACATGACCTAAAAAAAAAACTGTAAACTCTGAAAACTAGGGAGACCAATCTAACCCAAGATGGCATACAAGCTAACAGAGTTTGTGACAAAATAAAAATATCCTGACTCAAAAATTCTCAGACAGGTATGGAAAACCTTTAAAGGCAGATTACACCAAAAAGAATCACATTACACCATACAGTCCTAAGTTTAAGAATAAATTCATCCAAATTACTAAAGGTGCAAATTCTTGATCCTTAGCTTCAATCCTCCAAATCAACAATAAGCATCTCAAGTCCAAAGATCATTCCTCCACAATAGTCAAGCTGCAGGGGAGGCATCTTTTCTATTTTGATAGTTTAGACAACAAGTCATATTAACAAGAAATCAAACGACTCTCAGCAATCATGTCATTAGAATCAATTAAAAAACTCCGGTGTACCATACAAATCATTGAAGTACCAGGAAACTGAGACGATATCCCAATCTTTATCCAGCACCTCTATTCAAACAGTATTCCATAATCCAAAAGACAAATGATTTTGGTTAATCCAATGAATGAGGTAATTGATGAGCATCACAAGTTACATTTGGTATACCATAATCCACAATATCAGGATTAAGAGTGGTGGCATGTATCTCAAGAACAGGGACATCTCAAACACTCACTATGTGGCCTGTATGTCAAGAATAGTGACTTCTCAAGCATTCACTATCTTGAAAAGCCATTCAACCACAGCAAAAGCACGACTTGTGCAACAAAAATAAAGCAATCTGTTACAAAAATATTCAAATGACCATCACAGAAGCCTCATCTAATATAATAGAAAAGAAAGGCTCGATTGCTGGCAAAAGTAGCAAACAATATATTATGCAACTCAAGCTCAGTTGAAGATGGTACCATTTTAGTCCCCAGCATTGAGGATCATGAAAGATTTAGCCAGTTAATGAGATCACTTACCCACGAGGATGTGGAGGAAAGTCAGCAACTCACTGTTTTCAGTCAAAATCAACGAGGAGAAATTCATCCTGTTGGTTCAACAAAAACAACCGGCTAAACGGATCCAATTCAAGTACGTCAAATCAGTTATACCTGTAGATCAAAGCATTTCAGAGTGACAGCCCTCCTCAAAATGGTGGAATCATATGTTCCCTTTCCCAAAATTGGGACAATTTTGGAGTTGGTGCTGGTTCCCTATGACCCTTATTTTCATAAAGCCACTGCACTAATGGCTCTAATGACTTGATAAGTAGCTGAGCNCATACAAGCTAACAGAGTTTGTGACAAAATAAAAATATCCTGACTCAAAAATTCTCAGACAGGTATGGAAAACCTTTAAAGGCAGATTACACCAAAAAGAATCACATTACACCATACAGTCCTAAGTTTAAGAATAAATTCATCCAAATTACTAAAGGTGCAAATTCTTGATCCTTAGCTTCAATCCTCCAAATCAACAATAAGCATCTCAAGTCCAAAGATCATTCCTCCACAATAGTCAAGCTGCAGGGGAGGCATCTTTTCTATTTTGATAGTTTAGACAACAAGTCATATTAACAAGAAATCAAACGACTCTCAGCAATCATGTCATTAGAATCAATTAAAAAACTCCGGTGTACCATACAAATCATTGAAGTACCAGGAAACTGAGACGATATCCCAATCTTTATCCAGCACCTCTATTCAAACAGTATTCCATAATCCAAAAGACAAATGATTTTGGTTAATCCAATGAATGAGGTAATTGATGAGCATCACAAGTTACATTTGGTATACCATAATCCACAATATCAGGATTAAGAGTGGTGGCATGTATCTCAAGAACAGGGACATCTCAAACACTCACTATGTGGCCTGTATGTCAAGAATAGTGACTTCTCAAGCATTCACTATCTTGAAAAGCCATTCAACCACAGCAAAAGCACGACTTGTGCAACAAAAATAAAGCAATCTGTTACAAAAATATTCAAATGACCATCACAGAAGCCTCATCTAATATAATAGAAAAGAAAGGCTCGATTGCTGGCAAAAGTAGCAAACAATATATTATGCAACTCAAGCTCAGTTGAAGATGGTACCATTTTAGTCCCCAGCATTGAGGATCATGAAAGATTTAGCCAGTTAATGAGATCACTTACCCACGAGGATGTGGAGGAAAGTCAGCAACTCACTGTTTTCAGTCAAAATCAACGAGGAGAAATTCATCCTGTTGGTTCAACAAAAACAACCGGCTAAACGGATCCAATTCAAGTACGTCAAATCAGTTATACCTGTAGATCAAAGCATTTCAGAGTGACAGCCCTCCTCAAAATGGTGGAATCATATGTTCCCTTTCCCAAAATTGGGACAATTTTGGAGTTGGTGCTGGTTCCCTATGACCCTTATTTTCATAAAGCCACTGCACTAATGGCTCTAATGACTTGATAAGTAGCTGAGCAACGAAACTACAAAAGATTTATTGCAAAATTTCTCCAACCCGATCTCTCACCAATAAAAAACAAGCACATCTGCCTCGATTTCATATGATTCACTTGGTTTCACTATAAACAGAAACTTTGAAAATTCCACCTCAAAATTTCTTGACAGCAACAGGATTTAGATCATTAGAGATCAAGAGGAATGCTTTGATGGACCTAAGTAAAACAGCATTTCATTTAGAAGTCAATCTATTATCTTTCTACATTTGTACTCAACTCAACAAAGCCTTTGTCCCAGCAACGTGGATTTGGTTATAAGACTCTTGTTTCTCCTAGGATTTTTGGGCATATTAAGTCTGACAGTTTTATGCCAGCTACCTAACCATCCTCCTTTATGCGGACTTGGGATCAGTTGTATAAAAGATAAGCACTAAAACATGACACATTTTTGTCCATCGGTGATATCACTACATATTTCACATTTATAAGAAATGTATCATCTACTATCACTGTTGCGTGCTTTACAAAATCTATAAACCAAAGGTTGGGAGTACAACATCAGCACGAAATGGACAGGCACACAAAATAAAAAAGCATGCATTTATATTTTTCTAAACAGAAGTATGCTTCGTAATCGTATAAATAAATTTCTTGCAATTCTTTATTTCGTATCTCAAAATTATATATTCCTGCAATGGATGAACTATACATATGTGCAAGTTATGATGAATAACAAGACTAATGCTATATTGATGTAAGAAAAAGAGTATAGATGATGATCAATTAAAAGGTCCTCCAAACTCAACCCCTCCCCCCCCCCAAAAAAAACAAAAAAAAAGGTCATTCACACACATAACCAGTATCACAAATGCAGGCACAAAGCCAATTACAAGTATCTGACAATATAGAATGCACATTGTTACTCCCTTCATTGACAACAAAAAGTATCTGACAATGCATTCAGCTAACAAGATCTACAAAATAAGATGAAAAAGGGCCTGCCCAAAGGTTTTGACACAGTTGTCACTTAGAATGCATCCCTCTTATAGACAATATTGTCTCCATCATATTATATATTATAATGGGATACAATAACAGATAGGAGTAACAAGAACCGCTATATGCTTTCTTGTGATTTTATCAAGTACAGTGGAAATTAAAAAGAAATAAGCGCATCAATTTGACAAAAAGGTATCTCGATTACCTGCAAGTGCTTAGTAGCTATAGAAAGAGCAGTCCCAGCAACCAACAGGGATTTAATTTCATTGCCAAGTTGCTCCTCTTGCTTTTTAACCGTCTCTTCTGCAACCTTCGAATGCATTGACATGTTTCCCATAAGCAATTTTCGAGACTCCAATTTTTCTCGCATCTCTTCAAGCTCATTTGACCGACTTAACGACTCTGCCTCTACCTGCCCACCAAGCACAAGCCCGCTAATTCGCGGGCCAATCAATTAAAACAAATGAAATTCAAAAAGGAACAAAGAAAAAACAGAGACCATACAGGCAATGGAACAAACTCCGTAGGTTCCTTTATCAATTAAACTTTGTTTCATTGTCCAGAAACTGTTGGAAAACCCATTAAAAGGAAAACTGAAACTTATGCTCTCCATCTATCATCAAATGAAAAATAAAATACACAAATAATAAGCTCAAATGATTGTAGACTTAATTGTCCATATTGGTTGAACAGTTTGTTGAACAGTTTGTCTTAGAAGAATTAACCAACCATAAAAAAGGAATTTGCGTTTGAATTTGGGCCATATTAGACACACTTGTGGCTGTCATCCAACTTGTATGGCCACTTTAAAACCTCTATAATTACATGTGTGGCCATATTTATGCACACATATATATATAGTCATGAAATTGAAGACATACAGTGTTGAAATTGACAATATCATCAATTTGAATATGGATCTGTGTACAGCAGTGGTATATGTCTGTGTGTGTGGTGATTGCAGCACAACGGAGGAGATGGTAGTCAGTGGGTTTGATGTGGTGATGGCTGTTGACAATTGGCGTTGGTGGATTTGAGTGGTTGATACATGGTTGGTGTAGTGTGTGGTGGTGATGGCAGATGGGGGTGGTGCCAATGGTGGTGTGTAGTGGTCCATTGAGAATGAAAGAATAAGAAATGGGTTCGGTTCATTTATCCAGTGATTGTTGTTGGCTATTGTTCCCAATTGGGGTGCGGATTTCTGTGCTGGTGGATTTGGGTGGTTATGGCTTGGGTGCTGTTGAGGCGGTGGCAAATGCAGGAGGTGATAGTGGTGTGCAGTGTGCCAAGTGAGAAGGGGAGAAGAAAAAGCAGGTCTAACTCAGATCTTGGATTGAGTGTTGGATCCGGTTTCTATGTCTTATTACTAGATATATGTACCAAGGTACCTTACGGAAAAAAAAAGATACATGTACCAAGGGTAAATTGGCCTTTTACAACTTTTGTTACTTTCGAAAGCCAATTGTGACTAACAATAGGTGACGTTGTTATTATTCATGCCCAAGGGGGTCCAGGAGATTTACATTACTGACATCAGAGGGACTGAGCATGATTAGCCTTTAGCATTTAAAGAGTATTGAAAACTGAAAGAGAAAAACCACAAATGTCAATCAAATTCCCTTTGTTTTTCTTTGATTTCTTAGCAATCACGCCGAACATTCAAAAACTTAACTCGTGTTAGAATTGGATAAATGTTAACGGTCTCAAACAAGAGAACATAAAGTAAGTGATTGAAGACTCTTGTCTTCCATTTCAGGTCATTTTCTTTCATTCACCCAACCTAAGCAACCAAAAAGGACATTATTGAAACACTGAAACAATAAGAACATATCCTACCCAAAAAAAATAAGAACATAACCATGTAATCAAAGAATCTGGTCTTTCATTTCATTCCTGTTTCCCTCACTTCCTTGCCTATCACACCGAGAATAAAATCCACAACTGGCATCAAATTACATAAATGTTTAAAAAACGACTATAAGTCTCCATGTAATTCACTAAGCTAATTTCTTTTTCTTCAGCTCATTTTTTAGGTAACCCAATGCAAGACCTCCCTCCATTAAAGCCAGGAAAGGGACCGCAGCGCAACAACTAGGACTCGTGTTTGAGGAGTTTTGAGCATGAGCTACCACTCATGCAGCGGCAAGTTGAGAAACCACATCCCAAAATCGAATCTTGAATGTCACATTTGTTCTTGATCACTCAATGGCATAGACTATTATCCTCAAGGGAAAATCTCCAAAGTCATTTACTAAGTAAAGAGATACTTCTAGCTTTTAGGTAACCCAATGCAAGACCTCCCTCCATTGAAGCCAGGAAAGGGACCGCAGCGCAACAACTAGGACCCGTGTTTGAGGAGTTTTGAGCATGAGCTACCACTCATGCAGCGACAAGTTGAGAAACCACATCCCAAACTAAGTAATGTTTTTTGCCTTCACCCTTACCTTCCCATAGCAAATCTCTCATCATCTTTTCAACCATCCTTACAACTTCAAAGGGCATCCTAAACAAAGACATGTAATAAATGAAAATGCTCCCAAGCACCGAATTAATCAATACAATTCTACCCCCTCCCCTAACAAATAAGTTTTTTTCCACCTATCAAGTCTTTACCAATCTTAGTAATTGTTAGCTCCCAAAAACTAAGGGCTTTTGAATTTCCCCCTAAAGGAGAACACAAGTACTTTAAAGGCCACTCTGACATTGAGCAACCTAAAACATTGACCACACTAGCCAATTTATCATGTTGCATATTGATTCGAACAATTGCACTCTTAGATATATTCACTTTAAGGTGCAACTCCAACACAAATTCAAAACTTAGGCTCAAGCATGCAATTATTTTAAATATCATAAACCATAAGAGCAAAAATATTGTGATTCTTCAAGATTTGCTTTAGTCCATTTTCAGTTTCATTTCCTTTCATCTTCCCACGTCTCTCAGCGACCAAAGAGAACATATAAACCCGGAAATTGTACTCCAATTATGCAAATATTCGAATATAAAAAAGATAAGAACATAAACCATGTGATTCTTCAAAATCTTTGTTCAACTTTCATGCACTTCCTCAGCTACAAAAAGATGACCTAAACCCAGCAAACATTTAGTCATCCCAAAAAACAAAAAACAAAAAACATGTTATTCTTCACGACGCTTTCTCCAACTTTTTCTCCACTTTCTTATCGACCAAAAAACACACCCCAAAAAAAAAAAACCGAAAATTGAACTGGACGGAATCCAATTGCAAACCCTACCTGTATGAGGCCCTCCAATTTCTGCTGAAGCAACAGTTTCTTCTGCTTAGCCTCACTGAGGGCGGACGAAAGACTCCAAAGTCGCGCCAACTCTTGCTCGAAATCTTCCCATTGTATTAACTTTACTTTCTCCAACGCTAATGTTGAGGGACTCTGCGATTTTTGTTCCATAAGGGATTGAATAGTTTGAATTTTTTATTCTTTGTGGAGAATTCAATAGTGGATTATCATGGGGCCGCCTCACCATCGTCCTCTGAAAATTCAGGAATTAGGGTTTTCATAGGGTGTCCATTATTCAAGCGAATATAGAGATTGAGATATACACCGAGGGGAGTAGAGATTTGTGAGGGGTTTGATGGTCGTTTTTTTTTTCTTCAAGAGAGTTTGGGAGTGGATGAAGAAGATGAAAGAAGGGTTGTTGAATCTTTCTTTTTTGGAATGGCAGGTGAATTGGGGTGACTTATTCAAGACTCGTCTTTCTTGGTTAAAAATGGTTTTATTTGTTTGCTTGTTTCTTTTGTTTTTTAATTCTTAAAGTGGCATTTTAGTTTTTTTTTTTTTTTTTAAAGTGGCATTTAGTAATATATTTTTAGATTTTATTTTTTAAAAATGGAAATGATTTTTTTTTATTTTTGTTAAAACAATTAGGATAGAAAACTTGTCTATCATTGTCCTAGAAATAGGACTTTTGTCTCCATCTGTCCAAATGAATATTTCTCATTCTTTACATGGAGGTGATTTTTTTTTAAATTCTTAAAGTCCAGATGTGGATAACGTGGTCGTTAACGAATGGTTGTAGTCCACCATCAATGTATACCACCAATCATTTAAGTACAAGTAGAATAACTCATAGAACATGGTAAGGGCATTGGTGAATCCAAAAAGCATAACTAAATTCTCAAATGCCTTTTTATTTGTAAGGTTACATGTTTGCCACATAGGTCATATTTGGCTCGTCTCTTTGGGAATGACGGTTTTCATACAAGGGAATCGTTCCTATCTAAATCAAAATAGGATATGTTATAATATTTCTATGAATGTTGTTTCACGTATGCGCATATAATTGATTTTTTTTTCCTTCCATATCATGGGCAGTTGGGTTGAAAATCCGTGTGATGGTTCGATAGTGGTTTTAAATATTATTCACATTTCCAAAGAGAAACATCATTCCAAGTGGTGTGATAAAATAACCTATTATTCTTATTGTTTCCTTAAACAGTGTTTTATGTTGAAAAATCAAAAGAAGTAACATAGATGGATTTTTTAAGACAACTTGTGAAATTCAAAAAGTATTTTGCTAATAATGAATGGTAATGGCACAAGTGGTTGGCAGTAATGACAATAATAGGTGGTTGTGCTAGATAGTGATAGTGGAGGTGGTGATCAATCAGACATATAGTGATGGTAAGTGATAGTGGTAGCGAGTGGTGTAGGTGATAGTTGTGAAGGGTGGCTGAGTTCTCTTTCTACAACCATTTTGATAGGTCCGCCCCGATCACAAATGATAAGAATGATGGTGGTAGGGTTGGTGATGATAATGGTGGTGGCTGGGATGGGAGGTGGGGATATTTCTAGTGTATAGTGGTGGTGGTGATGAAAATGTTGACAATATAAGATGACGGTGTTGGGTGGGTGGCAAAAGGTGTATTTTGTTAAATCAAATATGCGGTATTATTTTTTATTTTTTGAAACCATTATTTCGTCTATCAATTATTTTTGAATAGTTAAATCATATTATATTAACAAATCTTATTTTAGTCAAAATAAAATAAATATATTGATATAAACAAATTTGAACAATTGAAATTTAATCAACTGACCATTGAATAATCTAACATTTGAGGGGAGTCTAACCTCTTAATGTTATATATTTTGATCCTAGATTGGCGATTTATAAAATTACTTGTCCCATCTCAATATTTCTGTCTATCTTCACTCTCTACCCATATAGCTAGCCTACTAATGTAAAATCGCGAAATAAAAGGCAACCAACAATAGGACAATGAAAAGTTAAGAAAAAAATGAAAAGTTGAACAATAAGTGAAAAGTTTTAGAAGTGGTTATATTATAATTTGCAAGTAAAAAATAAAAAAATTACACATTTACAGTCGAAATGTTCCATAAGTATTCTTTGTCTCAATTGAAAATATTTATAAATATGGATAGATGCAATCCGACAAAGAAAAATATTTGTTTTCATAATCTTAGTTTTAAAATTATGATGAACTTAATTTGATTCTCTTTTTCTTCTTATGCTGTCTTTTCTTTTTTAAGGTTGAGGTTGTGTTTGATAACTCAATTTAGCATTTATAATTTCAAGCATTATGCATTTTTTCAATTGAGTACATTTGATAATCAAACACATAACACTTAAGATTGTAAGTAACTATTGAAAACAAATAAATCTTGGGTATATTTTATACACTTGCTACTCAATGTTGAAAATTTAGTTAACAAATATTTTACAAACTTTTCGTGACGAACATATTTGGTCTCAAAATATTTTATCTGAAACTATCTTGCACCCCAACTTTCCACTGTTTGCCATGTAAAATTCGGGTAAATTTAAAGTTTTTATGAAAAAAAGACAAACTGATAATTTGCCACTACAGTACGGATTGTAAACCTAAAATTTTCTAGAACTCGGATGACAAAACAGACCTCACTGTTGGATTCATCTCGCGGTGTAAAACCCGGGAAAATTTGAACTTTTTCGGGAAAAGGGAAAAATGTAATTTGCCACTATAATGCAGGTTTAAAATTCATATTTTTTCAGAGCTCAGATGATGCAACAAACCTCACCGTTGGATTCGTATCGCGAAATCGAGTTGCCCTGATAATTTTTGTCGAATTCTGAGATAGTTGAATTTTACACGTTTTATGAGATAATTGGATGACGAATGACCTTTCAAAGGTCCCCAAAAATGAAATATATAAAATTTTCCTATAATTAAATAAAATTTAAATAAAATTAATTTGAACTTAAACAGGGATGAAATTAATCATTTCGGGACAAAAAATGAACCCGAAAGTAGTAAACGTGCGGGACGATGTGGACCATGCAATTAAAAGTATAAATAAGGGCAAATATCTGAAAAATCAAATATTTTTCCACCCCTTGGCCGGTTGCATCGGACGTTTGACAGAGAGAAAAGAGGAAAAATCAATTTTTCTTCAAACTTTCTTCTTCGATTCTCAAAGTTCTGTCAGTTGGAATCCGTCGAGCCAAAAGTTAAAGTCGATCACATAGACGAGGTTTACGCAACCATACCAAGAACAAAAGATTTCACCAAAGATCCAAAGGGGAGATTTTGGAAAAATCAAGTTTTGGAGATTTTGGTTGGTATTCTTGAAGTTCTAGCCTTCAATTTACGCTTCAAGAGGTAAGGTTTCCTCCTACTCCAATTCATTTATAGCCTATAGTGTTTGTAAGAGGTTGTTTTGGGGTTGTTTTATGAGCTATTTTGTGGACTATTTTGGGACTGTTTTGTGACCTATTTTGAAACTGTTATACGGCCTATTTTGGAGCTGTTATGTGGGCAAGTTATGTTTATTTATAAATTATGTCTTGTATAGGAATTTGATAAATGTCTTGAATAATTGAAGTGTCATTTTGATGAAATTGAAATAACATGATTGGATGTTATGGTGTGTTGAAATCATACGTTTATGAGATGATTTACATTAGAAATGTAAGTGTTGAATGTGGTAGAAATAATTTATATGACATTCATTACACATGAATAGGTCATGGCTATTGAAATTGCTCATTTGACATCCTTGCATTTTAGGCATGAGGTTGACATCACATTCATGGGCTTAGGCATGAGCGTGGATGTGTATGCATGGTTTAATCAAACACCACTATTGGTAATTGATATGTAGATTCGAAAATGTGGGATTGAAGATCCAAGGGAGTCACATGGTTGAATAAGAAAAACTTGTGTCGGGTATAACAAGAAGGGCTAGACACTCCCTTGAGTGAAAATCCCGGCTACTTGGTTCATACACTTCCCTGAGGTGAAATTTTGAAAAAGTGTAATGGCGTACGGATCCAGTCGGTGTGATTCCGGAATCCGATACCCAACAAAGACACATGATTTTGTAATATAAAGTATTCATTCAAGGAAAAACATCCAAGAATGAGTTGGTTTTATAAATACATAGTTTGTATTGGATGTATTACATCAATGATAAAGGTTTTTACACGTGCATTGCATTGTGTGATGGGAGTCGGTGAAGGCTCGGGTGGATGTACGTGAGTAAGTCTCATCTCATTCCATAGCATGACATGGTGAAATTCTATTATAAAATTTTATACTTTGTTTGGAATGTTGTTTGGTATGAATGTTAAATGTAAGCATTGCATATGCACTTAGGTGGAGAGTAGCCTTTGTAGGAATAACTCTACTGAACGTTAGCTCACCCTATACGGAAAATATTTCAGGTGCGGGATACACACCAATACACCAATAGAAGGCTCCCAATCCAAGCCCCATGGATGCAAAAAGCCGGAATGTGACTTTTGTTTTGAAGTTTTGTAAAAATTTTGTTTTTAGACATGTAATAATATGGAATTACTTGCAATGGAACTTGTATATATAGAGTTTTATTGTGAAAAATTATGTTTTTGCAAAATATTCACTAAGTTAGTTTTTGGACTATTTTAATGAAATCTTACATGCTATTATATGTTTATTTTTAAATAGCCGATGTGGTCAATATTGTATATTGGACCTCGAATGGGTCATGTGATTGTTTAATGCACAAATTGTATTTTGGGTAAAATTTCTCGTACAAAGGAGACTCTGTCCAAATTTTGTTAAATTAAGGACCCTCGATTTTTGGGGTGTCACATGCGGAATCTAATTACCCCGTCAAATTTTGTTGAATTTTGAGATAGTCGAATTTTTCATGTTTTACGAGACGGTCAAGTCTTGAGTGATCAAAAGTCGATCTCCTCGACAAGGGCTACGCGACTATACCAAAAAACGCGGGTTTCACCAAAGATCAAGGAACGAAATTTTTGGAAGCTAAGGATTCTAGCTCATTGTTGGATTCTTGGAGTTTCCTGACAGCTTTTTACGCTTCATGAGATAGAGTTCCCTCCTACTTAGGTTTATTTACAACCTAGAATGCTTATATGAAATGGGTATATTGATAGAATGCTATATCACTTGTCTATTATGGTGAATTTAATGAAATGGATATTAGAATTGGGTTTATGAATTTGAATCAATGTGATTCATGAAAATTGGGTATTACGTGGGCATGTTATGTGTTTATTTTATGTCTTGAGAATTAAATATGTTATTAGCATATGTTATGTAATAACATGCTTGCGAATTGTTGTTGGAAATGAAATATTGATATATGTTCATTGATAAATTAACATTGTGATAAAGTTTGGTGATTATATACATATGATATAATTGGTCACGGA